AGGCGGCGAAGATGGCAGAGGTGGGAACCCGGGGGGTGTAGCCAGACGAGGAGGGCGGGCACCCCCGCACTCACCACCCCCAGCCCCAGCTCCAGTAGTCTCAGCTCCAGAGTCCACAGCAGCAGGCTGCGGAGGCAGCGAAGATGGTCGTGGCGGGAAACCCGGGGGGGTCTCCAAGCGAGGAGTGCGGCGAGTGGTCGCCATGTCGTCGGCGACGGCGTCACCCCCCTCAGGTGAGTCAGAGGAGTCAGAAGAGATCTCAAGTGGCTCATCCAAGGGGGGTGGGTCTACCTGGGACACATCTGAGGGAGAAGGACCCTGTGGGGGAAGGGGGTCTACCGGGAGGGGGGACTGGTACCAGGAAGAGAGGTGCGAGAGGGACCGGGTGGGACGCGTGCGGGTGAAGTCGGTAGTAACAGACCGACTCGTCAAAGATGACATCCTGAGAGGACAGAACCCGACACGAGGCAGGGTGGTAGAACTGACAGGGTGGAGCATCGGTGGGGAAGCCCAGGAAGACATAACGGAGAGTACGAGGGGAGAGCTTGCTCGCTTTGGTATCACGAACAAGGGAGAGCGCGCCCCAGACCCGAAACGACGACGCATCACCAGGCTGTCCCGTCCAACGGAGAGTGGGCGAGGTCTCTGGAGCAGAGACACGGAGCCAGAGGTTGAGCTGATGCACGGCGTATCGGACCGCAAACGGCCACAGGAAATGGGGAGCAGCCGCATGGATCATGGAGGTACGAGCAACCTCCATGATCAGGCCAATGCGACGCTCAGCGATCCCATTTTGCTGCGGACGCTCGTGCAGTTGTTGACGAGTAGCACGGATCCAGGGGATCAAGACACCACTGACATCCGCCTTGCGCCGCAAGGGGAAGACTGTGGTGTAGCGTGTGTAGTCATCAACCACCAGCAGGAAGTAGCGCTCCTGGTCCGTTCCATCGACGGGGGCCGGGCCCCACACGTCCATGTGGAGAGTCTGGAGAGGAGCGGTGGTTGGAGGAAACTCGGAGGAGTGAGGAGCGGCGCGCTGCCGCCCCTCGACGCAAGGAAGGCACGGCGGCGCAAGTGAGCGCGGGAGGGGGGGCAGGGTCTCAGGGAGGCCAGTGACTAGGAGACGGGAGTGCATGCGGCGCAGACGCTGCAAGGAGGGGTGACCAAGACGGTGGTGCCAGCGCTGAGTCTCGTGCGTGAGTACTCGGCACGAGCAAGACGCAGCTAACTGCCCTGACACAGACGCACGACTCGACGTAGCTACCTGACCTGACTCAGCCACCTGTGCAGACGCAGTGGTCAGTGTATACAGACTAGACCCAGGCTGTCGAGTGAACGTAGCCAGGTGACGGCCAGTCCGGGAGCAAGTACAGATTGCCACACGCTGCCCTCCAGGAATAAAGGTATCAACCCAGACATCCTGAATGGCAGCGTTGCTCACCAAGTTCGTCGAGAACATGGGGAGGTGGAGACCTGACAAAGAGCCGGAGGGGACTGCTAGACAAGGGAGGACCGTGGAGGCTCTCGCAACCACTGGGCCCCCAGAGGGGTCAGCCAATGAGACTGGGACAGGTGCTGTGAGTGGTGTGACTGTGGTGCAATCACGGAAGAAGCAACGTGACGCGTCGGAGTCAAGCGTGAAAGTGTGCAAGACCTCAGCTGAGGCAGGACCTTTGGTAGTAGACGCACTAGCAACTAGAGCGTCGGTAGACTCACGGGCACCTAGAGCTGCAGCAGACTCACTAGCACCTGGAGTGGTAGCAGACTCACTAACACCTGGAGTGGCAGCAGACTGACTAACACCTGGAGTGGCAGCAGACTCACTAACACCTGGAGTGGCAGCAGACTCACTAACACCAAGAGCACCGGTCTTAACATAACGATAACCTCCACCACCAGGACAACCTCGCTGAATAACCCACTCACGAAGCTGCCGAGGGGTGGGGTCGTCCGGGAGAAGCAGTGCCCGCTGCTGTCCACCCCTGGCCGCAACGACTGCCGCGGAAGTGGCCATGACAGACAATGACTGTCAGGAGTAGGTCCAGCACCTCCAGCTCCTACAGCGCCAGCAGCACCTCCTGCACTCCGAGCAGCACCTCCTCCACTCCCAGTAGCACAAGTAGCAGCAGCAGCAGTAGTAATAGCAGCAGGGCGGTTCGGTGGGGGTGGGAGGCTGCACCTCCACCACTCCCAGCAGTACTCCCTCCAGTAGCAGTAGTAGCAGGGCAGCTCGGGCAGCAGCAGCAGACCGAGCAGCAGCAGCAGCAGCAACAGCAGTAGACTGAGTAGCACTAGCTGTAGCAGTAGTAGTTGCAGTCGCAGGAGCAGTGACAGCTCGGGCTGGGCGGTGCGGCTCGGACACAGTGGCAGAGCAGCAGTAGCACTAGTTGTAGCAAGTGCAGGAGTAGGAGCTGCAGCAGTAGCACTAGCTGTAGCAAGTGAAGTGGTAGGAGCTGCAGTAGTAGTACTAGCTGTAGCAGCAGTAGCTTCAGTCAGGAGCAGCTGTAGCAAGTGCTGGAGTAGGAGCTGCAGCAGTAGCACTAGCTGTAGCAAGTGAAGTAGTAGAAGTTGCAGCAGTAGTACTAGCTGTAGCAGCAGTAGCTTCAGTCAGGAGCAGCTGTAGTAAGTGCTGGAGTAAGAGCTGCAGCAGTAGCACTAGCTGTAGCAGAAGTAGCTTCAGTCAGTAGCAGCTGTAGCAAGTGCAGCAGTAGGAGCTGCAGCAGTAGCACTAGCTGTAGCTGGAGTAGCTTCAGTCAATAGTAGATGTAGTATGTGCCGTAGTAGCAGCAGCAGCAGTAGCACTAGATGTAGCAGCACTAGCTTCAGTAGCAGCAGTAGTGAGTAGCGCTAGCTGTAACAGGAGTAGCGTCAGTAGCAGCAGCAGTGAGTAGCGCTAGCTGTAGCAGCAGTAGCAAGGAGGAGCAGCTGCAGCAAGTATCAGCAGCAGCAACAACGAGGAGCAGCTACAGACAGTAGCAGCAGCAGTTGCAGGGCAGTACAGGCGGCAACAGCACTGCGGTAGCAGTTCAGTCGCAGCAGTGTAGCAGCAGCAGCGAGTGCAGCAGTAACACGGGCCGCGTGCGGGCCAGGCACGGGCTGTAAGGGCTGCGTGCGGGCCTGGCGCGGGCTGTACGAGCTGGGTGCGGGCCTGACGTGGGCTGTACGGGCTACGCGACGGCCTGGCGCGGGCTGTACGGGCTTCGCGACGGGCCTACGCGGGCTGTATTGGCAGCTAGGGTGCGGTCAGGGGGGGTCGCACGGGACTAGGAAGGAAAATCGCGTCTAGGGCAGAAAAAGGAACCATCTCGCCTAGAGCACGGTTTCGAATTTCGCGTTTCTCCTAGGGGCGTGACTCGGGCAGTAGATCGAAATGGTAGTGGTGGGCCCTTTTAAAAATTCGGTCCTGAGGAGCATTGTGCTCTTAATACCATGTTAGAATCACTAGCTAGGTGAGGGATGATGATTAGGTAAGGGAGAGGAGAGTACAAGAGTATCGAGAGAATTGGGTTGTGCCCTCTAAGGGATGACCCCTACACAACCTAGAGTGAAATAGACATTAACTCTATGTTTTGACAAATCCTAGGGATGATTTATTTCTGATTGCAGCATATACAAATGCACCATGTCTTTGCTATAGCCACTTGAGTAATTGAGTCTGAAATTATATGAACAACAGAAAATGAGTCTGAAATCTAGACCAACAGACTAAATTATTCTGATAACGAGAGTCATTTACATTCGCTCTGATCTGGGGTCGACAATTCCGCTGCAATTACTATGTGGTCAACCCTGAGACGATCCTGGCAAAGTTTTCCGTGGGATTGTGACATTCCCCCCGACATTCGTGAGTGTGTTTCCCCAATTTTCTGTGATGCAAGTCTCGAGTTGTAACATTTATATAATTGACAATCATTGTTATGGATGTTTTTTAAAAGGATGCATTTGCACTAGTGTGTAAGTGTAAGGAATTTTCTCGGCATTCCTTACGGAGCCCGACTACATCGCGTACAGTAACAGCCGTTGTTCGCCCGTTACTGCTAACGGGGCTTCGCCGACTTCGCGCGCACTGTTTCACCAAACCTCGCACTGCTGGCCTGGCCGTGTCGGCCTACGCTTCGGGACTAGCCCGAGCCTCGCTCCAGCGTAGCACTAGCTAGCTCGCACGCACCGCATTACCGTTTGCATGTTTCGCATATAAATGTTCGCTCATGCCTTCGCTCACATTTTGTACTCGTTTGACGCCTTAGTGCAATTCTAGCTAGTTCGATTCATTGCACCCGTAACAGTAAGTCTAATGTAGTTCTTGAAGTTGTATCAAGCTTTGCGCCATATTCGGCGAGTCTCAGAAAATGGGCCACGGTGGCGTACCTCCCCGCTTCCCTTTCCTCATCGTGGCAGTGGCACTTGAGTGGCGGTCTGATTGGAGGTTCGGGCCGCGAGGGCAAGCAGGACATGCGTTCAATTTCGTGGCTGAGGCGGCCTAGACTAGAGACAAGCGGGGTTGAGGTAGGGCAAATCCCCTACTGCTGGTGCTAACGCCCAGAACACCGCAGGACCAATTTCGACGGACTTGTGCTAAGCCAACTCAAGCACTCGAGTGCAATGGAGCGTGCTACAGTCAAGCTCGTCGAGCCGCCCTCCCTCGTGTCGGCCACGGTCTGTCAAGGGCTGGAAGGAAGGGCCCGCCGCAGTCCAAGATTGGTGCGCTGGAAGAAAGTACAGCGTCAAGTTGGTGTCACAGCCACAGGGCGTTGCTACCTCGACAAACATGTTTGATCCCCTCGTCGCCTTGATGGATGCGTCACGTCACATTCATCCGCTCCTTCACTCTAAACCATAGCAAGCCACCTCTTCCGATTTCGCGATAGTAGTTCGATTTGTCATTTTAAGCTTGAGATTAACGTAGAACGAAGAACGATGACCCATTCGCTGGCATCATAGGTGCACCTCATCGCGTCACAAAAGCACCTTGGGCATAGTGGACTGCATAAAGATCCCCCATGGCGGCAAGAGTAGATCGAAGAGCTGCGACGGTTCGGATTATAAACGGGCTGACACGAAGGTCCTCGGCCTGTCGCGCGAGCCAATGGGCGCGTTGCTGGCTGCTGGTGTGCGCGCTCTCGTGGAGCGCTGTGAGGCACGCAGCGTCGCGCAGTGCGGCAGTTCAAGACACATACACCAGCTCGAAACCTCAAGCGACTTCCAAAAGCAGCGGCGGTCAAGCAGTTGGATCAACGCCGCAATCGCGATACTTCCTGCTCCCCAACAACTCGTACGGCGCCAAGTGCCTCGACGGCAGGTACGGCGCCAAGTGCCTCGACGGCAGGTACGGCGCCAAGTGCCTCGACGGCAGGTACGACGCCAAGTGCCTCGACGGCAGGTACGACGCCAAGTGCCTCGACGGCAGGTACGACGCCAAGTGCCTCGACGGCAGGTACGACGCCAAGTGCCTCGACGGCAGGTACGACGCCTGCGCAATGAAACTCGCCGAGTGGGCGAGCGAGAGGGGTTCGTAGCAGCTGGTTCGACGAAATTGCGCTCTGCTTATCGCGAGGCACCGTGCAAGTGGCAAACTCGAATCACCCGCATACCTTTCCCTCGGCACGTTCTGCCCTCCCTCCTCTCACACGGTAGTACAGCCTCTCTCGCAATCCCGTTAATGATTGTTCACCCTTCTCATGCTTCTTTGCCCTCCGCCCTACCACACGGTACTCACCCTCCCCACACCCATCTTTTCTCCTCGGACTTTGTATGCAGCGAGCCTGAACCGATCTAGCTGGCCGCTGCTACTGCTGCTGCCACATCCGCTGCTGGAGCGGCGGGTGGTGCCCTGCTTCTCTTACCCTCCCGCCCCTCTTCTGCTTCCCTCCCCTCTTTCCTCCCGCCGCTTGCTGCCACCCGCGCCCAGTCCGCCTGGGTACCAGTACCGGGAGGGCTACGGCGAGGCGAGTGGGTGGTGGCACATCCATCTGCCGGGCGGCGGGTGGTGCGCGTCGCTCGACAAGTGCTTGGCGCGCTCCAAGTCCAAACTCGGCTCCACACGTGGCTTGCAAAACGGCATGCCCACAGGGAGCCGCAGCAGCAGAAAGGCGAGCAACGACAACGGCGACCCCGATGCTGTGAGTTGCTCATGCCGCAAATCCTGTCAGTTGCTCATGGCGCCGGACCTTCCTCATCCATCCGCGCTATGATGTCTACGTTCAGGTCCCCCTTCCGCAATGTCCCTTTCCCTTATCCTCCCTCCCTCCCTCCTCTCCTTTCTTCCATCCGCCTTCCTCTCCATTCGACTACTCCAACTCCCTCCTGCCATCCTGCACCCTCCAAACAGTCGCATCCCTCCTCGCCCTCGCATCCCTCCCCGCCGTCGCATCCCTCCCCGCCGTCCCATCCCTCCTTAGCTGGCAACCGGTGCGGCTGGTGCGCGAATCCGAAGCTCCGACACCTGCTCCTTCTCTCCCCCCTCTCTACACCCCTGGCCTCCCACTCTCCTCCCTGCGGGTCGCATCCCCCGCCCCCACCCCCCCATGCGCGCAGCCCCCGCGCGGCATAACGAGTGCGGATGCCGCCACAAACCCCACCTTCTACAACTGGCACCTCGTGCGCCCCGTCTACTGCGACGGAGGGGGCTTCGCGGGCCGCGCGGGGTACAAGGCGGCGGGCAACGGCAGCGAGGGCGTTCATATGGACGGCTGGCGAATCATCCACGCCATTCTCAGCGGTGTGTCATCCACGCTATTCTCAGCGGTGCGTCATCCATTCAATCTTCAGTGGGGCACCTCGCTGCATAGAGTTGTTTCTGCTTGTCAGGAAGCCCACTAGAGCATGTGTCCAAGTGCTTGCATCCTGCTGAAAGAAAAAAACACCACTGTTTTGGCCCCTCCGCTCTACCGCCAAGTGAAGTCCCCTTCCCTTCCCCCACACCACCACCGCCCTTCCCCTTCCCGTGTCTCCATGCACCCATCCTGCTCTTGTCTGGGCGGATATGCGCAAGAGCAGGGGCATGACAATGTCCCCCTTCCCCCCTTCCAGATCTGCGCAAGAGCAGGGGCATGACAGCGCCCACGCACATTCTTCTGTCGGGCACGTCCGTGGGCTGGCAGGCGGTGATCCCCTTCTCCCCCCAACAAACATCTCCCTCCTCCAGATCTGCGCAAGAGCAGGGGCATGACGGCACCAGCGCGCATTCTACTGTCGGGCAGCTCGGCGGGCGGGCAGGCGGTCGTGACGCTGTGCGATCTGCTGCCGCTTCTCTTCCCGCGCGCGCTCGTCAAGTGCATCATGGACGCGGGGCTCTTTGTGGGTGAGCGCTGGGGATGGTATGCGTGGGCGGGATGAGGACAATTGGGGCTGCTCTTGGGGCTCTTCGTGGGTGCGCGGGGCTGGTATGGGTGAGCGGGGATGGTATGGGTGAGCGGGGCTGGTATGGGTGAGCGGGGCTGGTATGGGTGAGCGGGGCTGGTATGGGTGAGCGGGGCTGGTATGGGTGAGCGGGGCTGGTATGGGTGGCAGCAAGTGGCGCTGTTAGTGCGCTCGTCAAGTGCATCATGGACGCGGGGCTCTTCGTGGGTGGGAGCAAGTAACTCTGTTGGCGAGAGAGAGCACGACAAGCAAGTATGAATGCCTGGAATTCACTGGTAGAGCTCATTGGTGTGTCCTGCGAGTGAGCATTGATGGGTGCTGCTGGTCGCACTAACGCACTCAACTGCGAGCAGCCCCACCTCACCTGCCCACCCATCCCCTCGTCCACCCCCTCGCCCACCCTCCTGCCCACCCTTCTGCCCGCCCTCCTGCCCGCCTTCCTACCCGCCCTCCTGCCCGCCAGACGCGGAGGACCGCACAAAGCGGCGGGCGTTTGCAGGCATGGTGAAGGCCACGGTGGGGCTGCACAACATGCGAGTAAACTGGCGCTGCAGTCAGAGTGAGTCAGCTGGCGCTGCAGTCAGAGTGAGTCAACTGGCGCTGCAGTCAGAGTGAGTCAACTGGCGCTGCAGTCAGAGTGAGTCAACTGGCGCTGCAGTCAGAGTGAGTCAACTGGCGCTGCAGTCAGAGTGAGTCAACTGGCGCTGCAGTCAGAGTGAGTCAACTGGCGCTGCAGTCAGAGTGAGTCAACTGGCGCTGCAGTCAGAGTGAGTCAACTGGCGCTGCAGTCAGAGTGAGTCAACTGGCGCTGCAGTCAGAGTGAGTCAACTGGCGCTGCAGTCAGAGTGAGTCAACTGGCGCTGCAGTCAGAGTGAGTCAACTGGTGCTGCAGTCAGAGTGAGTCAACTGGCGCTGCAGTCAGAGTGAGTCAACTAGCGCTCTGCATCCAAGCTGTTAAAGCCGCCATGCTGCTCCCCTCCTCTTCCCCTTAACTCTCATCCATATCTCACCAGCCAACCCACTCACCAGTCCCATCCCCCTCCCACTCCCCCCACCCCACTGTTCACACAGCCATGTCCCCCGCCAACCAGTGGCGCTGCTTCTTCCCGCACCAAGCGTTACGCTTCGTGTCGTCGCCCGTGCTGGCGGTGAACTCACTGTTTGACTACCGCGCGCTCATGCTGGGCAACCAGCTGCCCGCCAACCAGGCCCAGGCCACCGCCTGCCTGCGCCAGATCGCCAAGGAGGGCGGCACCGACCTGCTCAAGCTCGTCACCAGCCAGAGCTGGCGCCACGACCGGTCCACACTGGTGGAGATTCAGTCAGGAGGGACGTTGTTTCCTGGAGGTGATTATAAGGGGGGGAGTTTGGAAATTGGGTTGACGAGTACTGTGGAGGAAGGGGACAGTCCTGGAAACGGGAAGGGTGGGAAGAGGAAAGGAAAGGGGGGTGGTGGAGGAGCAGGGAAGGGAAGAAGGGTGAGGGGGTCAGCAGGTGCAGCAGCAGCTGAAGCATCTGTGTGCGCGCCTGAGGAGCACAGGGCGGTGCTGAATGTGGCATGGCAGATGATTCAACTCACGGATGCTGCTTCCATGGAGCTCGGACCCACCGTTAGCACGTTTGTCACACCCGCAATCGCGCACTGCGCTCTGACCAGCCCAAAATGGGACTCACTGATGGACAAAGGTGTGACACTAAGAGATGCCGTCACAACATGGTATAAACGGCCTCTTTGATCACTGTTGGTCTAGGAATAAATTAGATATGCACTTACAGCTGTAAGCAATATCAAATCCTTACTGGGGCTGTATCAACTCCTGGAAATGTATGCCCGTTCAACTTCCTGAACCCTGAGGTTGCCTAGTTTGAAATCTGCGACTCCCTCCTCACTTCACACATATTTTTTGTTTCATCTGCTAAAAGGCAAGCTAATTTTGTTGTGTGAAGTTTTCAAGACCGTGGTCTGAGAAGGGAACGGATGTGAAGGGCTGACGGAAGGATCTAGGGAAGCAAAGGGTAGGGTTGAAAAAGGGGATAGAAAATGCTTTTTACATACGAGAGCACCAAATCGAGGGTATTGAAGTGCAGGAGGGAGGGGAGGGGAAGCGAGGAGGGGAAGCGAAGGGAGGGGAAGAGAAGGGAGGGGTGGGGAAGGAAATGAAATGGAAGGGAAGGGGGAGGAAAGGGGGAGGAAAGGGGGAGGGGGAGGGGAGGGGGAGGGGAGGGGGAACGGAAGGGAACGGAAAGGAACAGAAGGGAACGGAAGGGAACGGAAGGGAACAGAATGGAAGGGAAGGGAAGGGATAATATGGGGATGAAAGAGAAGGAAAGAGAATGCAAGGATGGGAATGGAGGGGGAAGGATGGGAAGGGCAGGGTGACGTGATGAAGGGAAGGCGCGATGATGGGAGCGGAGGCGCGATGAGCAGGGCTGACGATATCAGGGTAATTACCCTGATTTCAGGGTGATTTCAGACTTGTCACCTTGCGATCCCTGTAATTTCAGCTTTATAGACTTTCAATACTGAGTACGCGTTCTGTGGACCCTGAATGCGATGTTATCGGGTCGAAGCTTCCTCGAAACTTCGTCCCGGTAACCCCCATGTGCGTAATCATGACTTCGGTTGTATCCATGTGAGGAGCCCTTTCACGCGCAGACAAGAAACACACTCTCCATTGTACAATACAGTCGATTTCTAGCACAGCTGTACACGCCAGAGTCAGCAAACAGTGCCGCGCTTCGATCTCATGAAGGGAAAACGCGACCGTGGTTCGATATGATTCGGAGGCGACGTGGTGAAATTTCGCGTCTGCCCCTTGACTCAATCCATGTTCACCTACCATCGAAGTGATTTTTGACGCGATCGTTCTTCTCGAAGTCATTTTTCCACGATTCCTGATGCACAGAGTGATGACGTGTACCAAATTATCACATACGGTACTTTCCATGAATGTGGGGTCAACACTGTACAGTTGTGTCAGCCGCCTATCAGTAAACCCCCTGCATGCCGACAAACGTGGTGAAGATACAACTACCGGGTGAATTTAGCATTGGACCAGGTGAATACGTGTACCCTGATTTCATGCTCTGAACCCTGACGAATCAGAGTGACACGTCGTTGAACACTGAGCAATCAGGGTAGCGTACTTCCGAAAAATGTGCACCCATAATTCAGGGGCGAAATTTTTCCCAGATTCAGGGAGGGTTAAAATGAAACGTCAGCCCTGGCGATGAGGAGAGGCACAATGAGGGGGCAGGACGAGGAGAGGCACAATGAGGGGGCAGGACGAGGAGAGGCACAATGAGGGGGCAGGACGAGGAGAGGCACAATGAGGCATCGCGAAAGTGTGTCCTCCAGAAAGTAACTGCGCCGCAACTTTCAAGTTGTCATTCCGCAACTTTCCATCCGTAAAAAAAAAAAAAACAGGTCAAACGCTCCTTTGCACGGATCACTTTCAAAGTTGCGGTAGAGTGACTTTCATGTGACTTCCCTGCAACCAGGAACGCCACGTGTGCGTGGCTCTCGATGTAACTTCAACGCAGCGGCGATGTCACTCCTACACAATGTCACTTCAACATTGCTTTACGGCCACCAGGGCAAGTAACGCTACAGTTGCTCGTAGGTAACACAAATGTGACATCTAAGTGACGTTGCCACGTGGCTTGACCAGGGACACGTGTACAAACAAATTGTGCCACTTGGACCGAATGCACCGGCGAATGAAATTACGCCCCCTGTCCCCCATAATACCATACATTTGGACAGCCCAGATGCCTCATCCGTGAAACCATCGTCAAACGATATGTTGACATTCGTCACTTCCGTACTGGTTGACCGACACCAGTACACCTCGCTATATTCCACTTGTCGACCGTCGATGTGCATTACGATGTGCAATACCGATCCGCCACACGTGCGCGTAGCTCGGCGCCGAGCCATCAGATCAACCATAACTACCAACCATAGTCCGCCACCATGCTACCCTTGTACCCAACAGTAGAATCCCAGCCCCACATCGCAAGAAGCGGTCCATCGCGAGCGTACAAATGTACGCAGTACATCGAGCCCACTTGTCACGTCACCATAACTTACGCCACTTGGGCGTCTGCGGCGTTGACTCTAGACGTACCCTAATGGGCGGCTCGACTTATGAACCGCCAGTTGTTCTCATCGCCCACATATGATACGCCATTTACCATATCGTGGTCGTACATGTGGCACAACTAGTACGCACCACGTGCTGCTCGCCTTTCGCGGCGCGAACCTATCGGTTCAGGCCACGTGGCTCAGTACGGATATGTGTCTCCGATTGCCCATACGCGACCCACGATACAATGTCTTGCTTGCCATCGACACTGGTTCATGTGCACCAAGATGTAGGTGTTAATCATTTCTTTTATTTTACCATAACGGCACCCAATCTAAACTATGCCATCTCGCACAACTCCGTTGGTGTCTTTTTGCTACTTGCTACGGCACGCAATACAATACAATCTCCCCCCACTCATTACCCTGCACATAGTAGTGCTTCTGCCATCCTGCTGGGCCATACTCACCCATCCTCACCCACGCTACGCCGATCACTCAATCACGACAACATTGTTCAATCGGATTCACTGCCAGATGCATCGCCTCCGCCTCCTTCTTCGCTCAGGTGTGACGTCTCCGTCGTTGGCAGCAGACATTCGAGACCACTGGAGGACAGGTGGAACTTATGCGGGCCCCAAGCCCATGACTTGCGCTCCGCATCATAGGTCGGTTGCAGGCGGCCAATGGCCTCCGCCACCGCCTCGTATGCCAGTAACTGCAGGCGCTTCACAGATGCGCCGTTGTCGCACGGTGAATTAGTCAATTTCCCCTTTCGATCGTCCCAGGTGACAATGGTGTAGGTTACCTGGGAGGTAACATTGGGGTCGATTAGTACCAGTACATCGAAAAAGTATTGGTAAACCTATTGGACGAAATCTAAACTCACCACGTGCTCGAGCCACGCTAGATGATATAGCTTTAGCGTCACATCCTCTCCACGTTTTCCCTCGAACGCTGAGATCGCGCACGCGGCGAATGCCGCGGACGCGAACGGGATTCTATCCCGTTTGCTGAAATGCCACCTCGACAATGTCTGCTCAGCTGCACCGAACAACAAACCATAACATGTGCGGTAAATAGATATTCAACCGACACCCTTGCACATGCTCCTCTACATCTGCACGCCAATACACTCACCCTCGTCATCCAAAGGGGGGCCGTACTTCAGCTTGACCTCGCTCGCTGTACGTTTCTTCTTTCTAGCCCAAGAACTTGCACGATCCTTTGCGTGACGGAAGAGCCCCAGCCTGGGCAGAGCAATGTTTCGTGCGCCCCGCAGCTCCTGTCTTCCATTCCGACAGTGACTTGTTCAGGTCGGCACGTCTTGTCCTACAGGAGTCTAGCGCCAATGTTGCCAATTTGGGAGGAAGCCTTGACACAACAGCGCTCAGTCCCACAGCCTTGTCGTCCCTGCTTGGGTAGAAATCCAGGTCCTTGTTGGGCGCATCGATGAACATCTCTTTCCGTACCAGGGCGCACATGCTCTGCCCACACAAACGCCACTTGCAAGTAAGTCTCTATGTACACAGATGTCACGTTGCATCGCCTCAGGCACCACATGGCTCTCACCTTCCACGCATCGCCTTCACTCAATTGGTCAAGCAGGCCCTGTACCATCGGCGACTTGCTTGTTGTCTTGTGCTTTTGCACCTTTGCGGGCGGCTCTTCATTATCGTTGCTCGAGTCCGGGTTGTCGCGTGTCTCTCGTGTCCGTTTATGTCCAACGCATCCGGACCCATTCGATGCCTCTCCGGAGGACCTTTTCCGCTTTCGTGACGCTCCCGCGGATATCGCCGACAGAATGCGGGACTCTAGACGAGCCATAGCCTTTGTGTTATCTTCCTGCCCTTCCCGCAAGCATTGTACTCTTCACGAGTAACGATGCCGACCGCAGTTGGAGGGCGCTCATCTCCATTTGGCTGACAAGTCATGGCAGTAGCGGCCGTGGCAGCACCCTTCAGAGGGTCATCGCTGGAAGACTCGCTAGCAGCCTCTCCAGCCTTTTCCGCATCAGCCTCCTCCTGCATCATGTCCTCGATCAGACGCTTCTTCTGCACATCTAGGTCGGCGTTATATACGGCAGTCTCGTCGTTCACGGTAGTTCCGACATTGTCCCCATCCACCACGGGCTTCGTGCTGACCGGCTGTGGCAAAGACCGTTGCGTCTCCCCTGCGAAGAAAAAATCAATGTCACATGTGTTAGGCCCTTGACGATACCACGAGTATGTAGCGTAATCGGTCAACACCATATGTCCTCATCATCCTCACCAACAAGCAGTGTACCTTCCTTCTCCGGTGTGACGTTCGCCTTTTTGTTGCGGCCGTTGGTACCATCATCTCTTTTCCTCTTGGCATCTCCTTTTCCTTTCTTGCCAAGCGAGAATTGGTAGGACTCAACGAGGTAAGATGGAGCCGCTCTGGGTCTCACGGAACGTCCTTCACCGCGTGAGCTCATGACTGCCGGGTTGAGTTAGCAGTGGGAAACTCATACGCACCCCCACATACAATGTCACACGGAAGTGACCAAATCAAAACGTCCGCTGTGGCCATTCCCACACCTTGATTAGCGACCACATCGCTCTTCCTAACAGATTGCATTACATTGCCCCCCAATGGCCATCCCCCACGGCATGAAGCCGTACACGT